GGAGGTCGATTCATCCGAAATCGTGTTTTCCTGAGACCGAATGGTCAACGGTCAGGCGCACGAAAGGAAACAGCCGAAAACCACGTATTAGAAATCATCACGCAACAAGAGGAGGATGAGCCGGAGACGATCAGAGTCCCCATCAGGATCTCGAAAGATACACAGCCGTTATCAGACGAAAGAGAGCCGGAACTCCAATCGACAAGAGCCCCTAAGATACTCGAGATCCCACGCAAGCGAAAACTTGAGGTGCAATCAACTGAAGCCAAGAGAAAGGATGAAAGAGCTACTCCGAAAATCAACCGAACTACTAGAAGCGGAAGAGAAATCAAAGCCCCCGATAGACTTCTAGATAGCATCATGGAGATCAGCACGATGCAGTTGGAGTAATTGTGTGTCCACTGTATACAATCTCAGTCAAAGAATATGACGAAATAATTTAAATCAATTTGTGTAAAAGAAGAGAGATGTTCATAGATCTTTAAATATACCGCCATCGTGTAGAACCCACGCAGAGCCGTTTCTCGTCTCTGTGTTTCGAGGAGATCAATAAATGACAGGCAGTTCCGTTAAGACGGTCTCAGAGTGTGTTCCGTTTGGTAATTCATCCTTCAGTCAGAACATCCAAAACATCTAGTCTCTCTAGAATTTCGGAAAAATCTGAAACCACGTGACGCGGGCACGATGACCCACGCGGATGTACTTAAGTCGAGGCGATCCGATTGACTAGGTCCTGCCGCATGGCATGACCGACATCTCCGCGCTGTTGACGGTATGGACGACCATCTAATAATCAACAATTGTGAATGTCTTCTTTATTCCGTGCAATGTCAAATATCACGTCCCGCTCGAAGTGGTGCTCAGGGAAATACCCGGAAGTGAAAGGTAAAAAGCGCTGTCATGGATCCGGCGCCGATGAGTGATTATTCATACCCTTGTATCATTAAAACAATACTAAAATTGCCGCAGAATGTCGATGATCCGAGCGCAGAGTCAGGAACGTCGCTTTTTGAACCCGCGTAGATCTTCTTGCCGGCCTCGGATTGGCGACCACAAAGAATATTCACAAGAGAAGTCGACAAACTCGCGTAGCGAATCACGAGTCTGACATTCGAAAGCAGAAGGCATCGCTTTTTTGCGAATCTGCGGTAATGAAGGCGGAGGAGCACTTCAGAGATCTTGATCATTTTCCATGGGCTGCGGATCGTCAGGATTCGTGGCCTGATTGTCGACCCGTGGACGCTGTGACGGCGATCCTTGCTGCGGTGCGTTCTGTTGCCGGTTCTGTGCGTTCGGTTGCCGGGTCTGAGCGCTCGACCCCAGCTGCATGGAGCTAGAGGCGCCGCTTGACGCTGAGGCCCTTGCGGCCGCCGATAATTTTTTCTCGATTCCTTCACTCATCGGCAGGCAAACTATGCATTTCTGTGCTCTACACATCTGCCAATGATAGAGGAGTCTCCGCGCAAGGGAACATCTGTCAAACCTGCAGTGTTCGTACTGATCACATTGCACCAAGTGCGAATAAAGATTCCTGAAGTCAGCACAGACATTCAGAGTGCACGGTCCTGCCGGCGGCCGCGGAGTCTGAAGGCATTTATGCGCATGAAGCAGCAGGACCAACATTCGCTGGATACCCGCGCGGCGTCTGAGGTCCTCTGCCGTCAAGATACGGGCACGAGCCGGGGAGGGGTACATCGGAGGAAGAGGAGGTGTCGCCAGGAAAGCAGTCAATCTGTCCCGGGTTGATGGTGGTGCCTGGACCGGCGGCTCCGGCACTTTTTTAGGCTCAGCTGCACAGACCAAACAATCGGGGTAGGGACACCTCTTCCAGTGACGTAGGATACGGTTCGTCGAAACGCACTGGGGCTCTTTGCAATTTGTCTTATCACAGCCCGGGAGATGATTGAAGAGGTTTTTCAAATTGGTACAGTTTTTCCGACGACATGGGGGTCTTCGACCGAAGGTTTCCAGATCGTGCTCGATGCAATGATTAACATGAAGAAGTTGTTCCAGGTGCTGTTTGATGAAGTTTCTCTCCCTCAATTTGCCCAAGCGCAGGGTGCGCTCGTATACGTTCGTCTCTGTGACCTTCCTCACCGGGAAGCAGATCAGACAAGCCGGAACACCGCAGAAGGACCAATGACTCATTACGTACCGTGTCGCGATGCAGCCGGGGAATGGACAGAATATCTCCACTCTGCATGATTGGAGATGCCATAAAGCGTCCCCCAGATGCTCGCAGTTCTTCAAGCCACAATCACCTTTCCTGGATCCCGGCAGCGACATCTCACAATTGTGGATGTGCATGAGGTACTCGAGCAGTTGAATCGTCAGTCTTCTCTTCTCGCTTGTCAGATTGATTCTTCTCGGCCGAACGGCTTCGGCGGCTCGGACCCTCGGATCCGCTATACGGGCCCGCGCCGCGTTGCAGGATGCGCAGTCTTCGGAGACACACTTCTGGAAATGCTTCCGGAGTGACCGTGTTCGGTAGCAGCCATCGAACTCGCAGAGCTCGTGCTGATCGCAGAATAGCAAATGCTCGAGGATGCTCTTCATTCCCGCGCATCGGCCTTCGAAACAACGGCCCGGGGCACCGCCGTCCCCGACCCGGCAGCTGGAAGAGTGGAATATCAGTTCCAGTTGATCGGCGATCGCCATCGGAGTCCCTGGATTCGCTCGCATTGCAGCGAGACGATCGTCCATCGTTGACCGGAGATTTGAGTTGAATGTCCACGGAAGATCTACCACCTGCGGGGAATCGGGATGCAATTGGCAGAGATGCTTCGACTTCTCGGATCCAGATCTCGATCGACGTTCCTCCGATGCACAAGCATTCACACTCACCTCCCCGGAGTTCCCCGCGGGTCACAGAAATTTCGAAGTCTGCAAGCTCGATGCTCGCGACTTTCGTCTGCTCGAGAACCTGATGATTTCGTAAGCAGCGGAGACGCACTTCTCGAGGAAAATATCGACGAGCTCTCGCGTGACAAAGGAATGGCGTCGACGGCTATCGGAGCGGAGACTTCAGCTCGACGCAGAATCAAGCGGATCTCTGACATTCCGTAGTTGCCCATCGCTCCGGCGACGATATGCTCGGGGGCATTCGGTATTGGATTGATACGGAAGGCAACATGCCAGCTCCGAAATGTGTCAGAGACGCAACGGCCAGCGTCAGCTTCTTCCGGTGCCGCGCCGCCTCCATGGCTGGAGCCGTCGATATTTGGGGAAGCGTTCTGGGAATTTTCTTCTGAGCGGGAGAATCTTTCTCGAAGTCCTAATCTGAGACGAATTCACGGGATGTAGCCTTCAATCATCTACAAGAAGCGGCGGCTCGAACGACTGGTAGTTTCATATTGTTATACAGACCTAGCGGGGAGGTGTGATCGAAGAAGAACCCCCGGAATTCACGATGTTTAAGATTTGCGAGAATATGCGTACATTGCGTGCGGAATCACCGATTCCCCGAGCCGCACAGAGCTCCGGCGAATGAAGTCCCTCGGTAGGGAACGGTTACGTCTCGACGAGAGCGTTCGCGGTAGGCTCGGTCGAAGAGGGGCATTTCTTCGTGCTCGAATAGAATCCAAAAGATGCCCAAATGTCCAGAAAGATGTCCGGATGATTTCCCTGTGAAATTTTTCCGCCTGAGCATAAGAGCCTCTGGTGCCCCAGGCAGGTCAAAGCAGAACCAGCTTTGAGCGAGCTTCATGGAGAAAGACATATATTTCGATGATGACGGATCATTTGATATCTTGTCCGAGTCACCCCATGCGACTTCATCTGTGTCGGGGGCTCGAAATGTGTCACGGGAGTCCCACTCAGAATTTAGAGGCCTCGGTGGTCTCGAGATGTATCTACGCATCGTGTGTATGCTCGTTTGAGAACTGTGCCGTGCGTCAGATGCCCCTCCCATTTTCTTCGGGAACCTGTCCCGAATCCGTCGGAGTGTTCGCCGGGATTGGCGTCGACGAGGGGGTTCAATAGAAAGCTTGAGCTCACGCACGCGGATTTGTGAGAATCTTGTTCCCCCTCCGAGGAACCTCGAGTTTCATCTCGAACCTCGAGTTTCATCTCGAACCTCGAGTTTCATCTCGAACCTCGATGGATTGGAGGACGAGACGTCGAGCAGATCATTCCAATCTGCCCCATACGATTGTTTCTAATATTCCTGCTCGTTCTGAGTAATCCTGATTTTTCTAGAGGGGCTTCCGAAAATCGGAGCAGCATCAATCATGTTTCTCGGGTGACTCACTGGAGCTTGAAGCAGGAACCATTTCTTTGGAAGGAATTCATCCCCAACAGGCATAACTGTCTCATATTTTAATTGAGAGTTGCCTCTTAACATTGAGAGCCCACCAAACAACCGGTCGCGCAATGGTAGTGCAGAGGGGGATGCCGTTGATCCGAGGGCTGACCTCGAGTATTTGCGTGGAAAAATATCACTGACAGATACCTTACACCGATTGTGAATGGATACGGCAATCTCATCGTGATTCTTGCCAAGAAAGAAAACTTCCTTCACGTGTGTGATTCGAGAGGTCTTCCCGTTCTTGGGCTTCGGGATTGCAATTCGTCCTACCATCGAGGGGTCCGACGCTCGAGACTAGGTCGGCCAAGAGCAGGGGTCGAGAGATGAGCTTTCACCGTGATCTCAAGCAAAAAGCATCCGGGTGGATCTCACTCGCCACTCGCCGATGAGAATGATCGACGAATCACGTGATCTTTCGAAACACGCGGGATATCGAGAATTTCCGATTCGCTGCGAGCTTCCGTAGATCTATCTTGAGAGCATCCTCCCCGGTACGCCACTACGTTCGTCGTTCATGAGTGTCGACGCTTCAGAAACTCGAGAGCCGAGGACAACCGTTTCCGACCGAGGCGAAAACAGAATCAGACCGGCTTCGGCGGCGGCACGTTCCGCGCATCCAGCGTGCACCTCCATACACTGACAGGGACAGCGTTGTGATCTCCGCGAACAGGAGCCGGACAAAGACTGACAAGAAATGAACGCAAGAAGTTTCGATGTGGAGCTGAAGTTACGCGAGGAGGAGGTCGTAGAGGTTACGAGCGGCCTACTGCACACTATTCTCTTCCTGAGATCATCAGCTGCCGGTGAAAGTGGCAGCACAGTGTTCACCCGTGGAACGCCCCCCGTGACAAAGTTCTCGTACGTTGACTGCAGAACCATTGACTTCACTCACGTACAAGTGGAGAGCCCCGATCTCAAGAACCGCATACATCGTGAAGCAACCTTGTTCTTCACTCAGCTAAAACGCGGCCAACGCGGACGCGGGTCCATTACGCTGGAGTTCTATGAGAGATCAGAGGGGCTGCTCTCGACTTCTTGCGAAACATGGGAGATGTGGAGGATAGGAGTCACTCTCACGACGTGCGGAAGTCTTTTCGAAAAAAGACGGCACTCCCAAAAGGCCTGCGCGGAAATTGCCGACTTTGTGAGCTTGATAACGACCGCGGTAAACTTCGACACCCATCTGCCTCTGGCATACACGCCGGAACACGTCGGACGGATCTACGACACATCGTTGCGCGGAGTTCAGCCCTATTTGTTCAAGATCACTCACAGAATCGACTGTTTCAGACACTACAACCCTTCCGTTTTGACGGACTTGTGCAAATGGATCGGAAAGGGCGCGTTTCTAGACTGAGCCTGCGACTAATTTGGTGGACGCGGAAGCCTCGGCTCCATGTTCCAGATATGTGCTTGTCTTAAGCCGATATTCAAAGACGGAAACTTAGTTCCCCCGTGCTTGTTCCAGGAACTAAGTAGTACCTACAGCTAATCTGTTGTCGAAGATGAGTTCCAATTCCATTTGTTATGATCTCACTGGCACCTTAGGCAGTGAAATACGCAGACAGCCCGACATGGAACGTTTTTCGGAAATTGTTTTATCATCTTTCTTACTCGTGGAGAAAAAAAAGACCGAGATTCCTCTATCAGAGACTTTTAATAAAAGAAGCCGCGCTTCAGTGAAGTTCTAATGTTGGGTTGCGCGTTGTCTACTCTGCTCGATGCGGAGTCGCGATAATTTCGCGGCGGCGCGTATGATGGTCGGCGGGGGACTCAGTCTTCAGCAACTCGATGAGCTCGTCTCAGCTCGTAGCCGCTCCAACCGTAATTCGGGCTCCTCGCGCGCGACGGAATTTCGGTTCATCAAGGCATACAACGGAGTGTATAATTGATTCATTCGAACACTGGGCTGCGTTTCCGCTCAAGCATCATCGATACCGCAGACCAAGAGACAGAGAAGATGATCGATGCTTTTTACGCAATGCGGCTGCAAGTAGCTATCTCTCTCGGCAGCGATGAACGTGCACGAAATTCAAACACTGGAAGGATTGCTCGGATGTAGGGATTGAGGAGGCTGATCTCCACGATGAAGCTCAAGCCGGTGTGTATACCCTCGTGACACCCCCAGGGAGCTGTCCGAGAAGCTCTCGTGATCGACACGGACCCTCGGCGCGCTTCCAGGAAGATCATATCAGAATGGTCAATCTTGAAAGGGCCGGATGGGTCCGGAATATTTCCTCGGTATCTACGTTCCTTGTCTTAGGTGAGGACGGGGTTTGAGATGGTTCTCTCTTATATAAGAAGGTCTCCGACATGGGGCTCTATGGAGCCAGGGTTTTCGGGATGATCTCGGATATCCGGTTTTCTCTTATATCCGAAATTCTTATAAGCGAGGTTTCTAACATGAAGCCCCATGGAGAAAAAATAGGGGAATCGGAATCGGTTTCTTATATCCGGTTTTCTACTTTGAGCGAGTTTTCTTATAAGCGGGTTCGATTGTAGTCGCTATTCCCGGACAGAATGTTCGTTTCTAAACGGCTGTCGCGAGTTCCAGACGCACTGCTGTCACTCGACGGAAGAATCGTTCTCCCGATTTATCTCCCCTATGGGGATTCGCCGGCTGAAGCTAATTCCAGGAAAATGCTTTGAAGGTTCATATCGCAACTCAAGGAGAGCGTGCAAAATCCGAAAGTTGACTTCAATTAGTTGTTCTCAGGGATTCACTAATAGAGACGGTTTTCCAGAACTCGGCTGCGCCGCCCCCGATAGCCCAGAGGCCGCATTCAATGCGACTTCCGATCTTGCGTTGAATTTCACATTCACATCTCCGGCCAAATGAAGAAAGTGTACCCATTCATCGGAAGAATCCTCGAAATTACACCCGAGCAAACACGCAGCGGCTACTGTGACGAAAAAAAATAGCCTCAGAAATAAACACGCCGCGAAGGCCTGGTATACAATGAGACGCTGGAGCCTAGCGGGTTCCTCCGTGGATTGCTGTAACAATTCCGTACAAGTTCGGGCCGAGAAACGTACAAAACGTGACCGAAAGACCAGTTGAATTTTCTGGCACCACGACGATGCTTCCACTCTCTCAGCGGAAGGCGTCCAGGAAACTCTCGCCGCCTTGAGATGTGATGTCCCGGAGCACCAAGCACGTTCACCAGCCTTCTTCCTATAAGCTCTCCGCAGCAACGATCGTCGCTCCTATGAATCGGCGTTCCATTGCATTCGGAGAAGTCGACGAACGGGTCTAGCAATGGCTCGTTGATGAGCTTCAAACGGGAAGGCTCCTGAGCCTCACGGGAGGACTTGAGAATGTGAACACGCATCTATCTAAATCGGGGAATACTTCAGATAGGACCGGCTTTCAAATTCTTCCAGACGAAAATTGCGTCTATTCGAGAATTTCTTGTCTCGGATGCATGACAATAGTCCTGGTGTTGCCGGAAAGTTATTGCACGGGGCCAGAATTCCACGGCATCCGAATGTCCTGGCTGGCTCTCGAATCGAAGGGCACGAGTTCTTCTTCCCAGAGTCCCGGTCCATCTTCTTCGCCCTCCATCTTCTCCATCCACAAGTCCTGCATGCGTCACGGTCATTCAGAGATTGCCGCGACGTTTTCTCAGAAGAACCGCGCGCACCAATCTCCGGCACGGAATGCGGGACGCGTACGTGTACCACCATACCAGTGGACACGTATCCAGAGACGTCTCCGAGCACGCACGCACAAATTCGCGCAAATGCAGGTCCAAGAGATCAGGAGACATGATGAGTCAATCTCTCGCTCACGGCGATAGAGACGTTTCCCCTCACTTGATCGATTGGTCACGGACACGGTGGATGCTCACTGAAGATTCGCGAGAGCATCCCGTCCGCTAGAATAGAATCGCGGAGGGGGGAACTCCCTTAACGACCACTGTGCTGCAAACTGGATGCATGGCATCCGTCTCGCATCGTCGAATATAATAAATCCTCGATCCGGTGTTCCTCCAGAATCGTTATGCCATCGAATATAGCATATCTCAGTCAATCAAATAGGGGGAACAAAAGCGCCACGGAGTGGAGTCGCGGTCTATTTCAATGAGTCAAACCGGATGCAGGGTGAACTTCTAGCGGATCACGGAAACATTCATGGGTCCGCAGCGATAGAAATATGGAGTGGTCTTCTCTAGAACAGAACTCGATGTACGGAGCGATTAGTCCCCATCGAGGGAGACAGCGTTCATTCGCTTCAGACGAGTTCCCTCGAGAGACAGCTTGCGCTGGACAGAGACAAACTTTCTGAGAATGCCGCGAGAACATCATGCTTTATTTTGAGAACAACGAGGTACACAGAATACATCACAGATGCTCGAGGGGAGAAACAGTTGGCGAGCATGTCCAAGAATGAAAAATTGCTCGTCCTAATAAAGATCTACTTCGTCGACAGTAAGCCAGTTTTGAGCTGTTGCGGTTTCCGGGCGGGATGTAACAGATCAAACGACCATGACGATGATAACAAGTGAATGGTACAGAGGTAGATAACCGGAATCCCTGGCGCGACCCGTTCCGGAGCCGTAGGCAGAATCTGGAAAGAGCAATTATTACTGTCAGTCTCTACGATTTCTCGAAGATGAACGGAACCGTATTCTCAGGGTATGATTCACCGTCAACGAGTCTTAGGAGACCAATCTGTCCTCGCACGCGGAACTCACCCCAGACTCTGACTCTGGAAGCGGTCATTCAGGCTCATCATCCCATCGAAGGCTTCGGCGTTCGGGGTCCGACGCAAGCCGGTCGATATCGACGGAAAGTAAAGCCTGAACTCCCGGGGGCGAATTAGGCCGCGGTGGCACACGACGCCGCCAGGCTGGCTTGCCACGGCAACTCATCTTCGATCCAATGCCGGAGCTCCACAGGGAGCTGACCGAAAAGATGCGGAATTTGCCGCGCCGTGATCAGAGCTTGGGAGACCGACGTCATGACAATCAATGGCAGCAGAAGAATGGGCAGGGCAGAGATTATAGCCGTGAACAGGACGAGCACCATGATATACGGTGCGGCCACAACTAGCCAGCCCAGACACTGAAAGATCTCCGACCATGAGTAGAACGGCTTCACGCACAGCTCGATCACGAACCAGGAGAAGTACAAGAGCGACCACATTTTCAGATATGTTTCGCAGCGATACTGAAGCTGGAGCGTGCACGCGACTTTAAGTTCTCGATTCAGGCGGAGGATCCTTTCTTTTGAGAGGGTTCCGTCCAGCTCACGCCGGAACACTGATGATAGCGATCTCCGGACAAACTGCTCCGGAATACCCGCACCCGATGACCGCGGTCTTCTCGATCGATTCGATGGTGCCATTGAGCTCTCATTAAGATATGGGATTGTGGGAATGCTCACGACTCGGTGGCTTACGTGGGGGATGATCCCTGGCTCATCAAAATTGGCTGATCCTCTCTCCGCGAAATCTGAGTGAGAGGGCTTGTGTGCCGGGGGACTCATCTTCGTCTTTCGGGTTCTATGAACTCGTCTGGGGGGGTTACTACTCTCGAAATCGACCATTCGGTCCTATATGGAGGAGAGACGACGCCGTCGATCGATCACATCGGGGAAACGCGTGCATCGGAAGCCCCAAAGGCAAGGCTTCGCATGAGAGCCTTCCGACCAAATCCAACAGGGGCGGCGACTTATTCTTGTCTTTACCTAATGAGTCTAATGACAATGACTAATGACAATGGCGATCCCGCGATACGACGCATCCCATGAGTATTTCTAAGGGAAAAAATAATTCCGAATGAATTCAGCCTTTCTCGCTACGCGTCCAAACGAATGCTCATGGAACAATGGATGACTTTCGACATTTGCAGATCGACGGTGCAAGAGAGCGTGAGACGCTCCCGAGACACTGCCTTCTCATCCACTTGTCATCGCCGTTTAGCGATCGACAGATCGGTATCTCTATCGGGAACGCTCCATCCCGTCCGGATGTCGTGCCCGACCTCACGGAATCCAATTGCCGCGCAAAAGCTCGGACAAGTGGTCATCCTGGAAACGGCGAAGCTCCGACGGGAAACAAACTCGAGCCAGAGGATCCGCTCCCGGAATTTTCATGCGATATGTGCGCTAAAAGAAAATTCTCCAGAATTGTGCTCATCAATGGACCAGCTGCGTATGTCCCTCTATTCCCTGTTCCGGCATCTCAGTTCTGACTTGAGCACGTCATATGTGGGTAATTCGTCAAGCCTCGAGCGGCTATTTCTTCTGCGAACCGGGCGAGGAATCGCAGCGAACTAGGTGGACTGAACGGGAAGGCTTTTAGACGAGCGTGCACGAGTGCTCTGCAAGCATTCGCCAAAAAACTAGACAAATACCCGCAATCGGGGATTTCCTGGGTCGAGAAAAAAGCTGGAGCGATGAATGGAAATCAAGCATCGAAGGCGCCCGTCCGAGAGGGCGACAAGCAGGGAACGAATATGAATGAGCGGGTTGTTTGCTCCGGGGATTCCGAAATGGTGAGTAGAAGTAATTACTTCAATGTCGGTCCCAATGGTCGACGAGCGGCAACAAAAAATAGAAGCTGGTGCACACTCTGCACACACTTGAAGTGTTTTTAAGTATTCCGATTTTTCGACGCGGAGAGATGCCCCAACGGAATCTGTTCCGCAGCTTGACTGTACGATCGCTCAGTTTGCTCATGCCGGCCTCGAATTCAGCCGCGGGATGACAAGAACGCGGAATTCGGCTGCTTCTTCAAAATCAGGGATACAGCGGGATGACTCCTCTGCTCGGCGTAGAATCGATTCGTGGGGTTCCGGCCGGCTCCTGAACCTCTACAGGGAGGCAGTTCCCTTTGAATCGAAGCATTCCATTGAGAAATTCCGCTTACATTCAGATTGCGATAGGCAAATTCGTCAGGTTCTCGAGTGACCTTGGTGAATAATTTATTAAAAAGATCTCCCGTGGCTGATGGCGACAATCAGTGCGCCAGCCTCCTCCCGAGGGAGGCAGACCCCGGTTGGATCCACATGCGGTCAACTGTCCGTGCTCAGAATCCCGTACTGAGAGCTCTGATGGTTTACGAAGTGTACTTTCCGAATGTGGACTGCAGAATGGTAATCGTTCGACGCAGCGTAAACCCCCATGCTTCGTTTGTCTGAGAGCTCGCGATTCCTATTCGGTACCACTCGACCCGGGGATGTTTATTCTCGACTTCCTGTGTTCCCCGAGCATGGCACTCTCTATTTATCGGAAACATAACGTCTCGTCGCTGCGATCATATAAATAGAGATCGCGTTTTTTGCACGCTGCGGGTGACCTTGTCGATCCCGATGATCATTGGCCGCTGAGTCGTAAGCCGCGAGCTTTCCATCGTGTATTCATTGTCTCCATAAAATCTTTCGACGGCGGTCGGACGCTCCACTCCGCCATGTTCCGGGAGAACTCGATCCGCGGAAGCGTGAAGTTTCCGCGAACGAGCCTCTCAGAGAACTCAAAGTTTCCGCTCCCGGCTCAATTGATTTTCGAAGCGTCGTATCAAATTGGGCGCTCATTTCGAATGGAGTGATCAAGTCCGAGATGAGCACGTTCACTCGGCGTAGCCGTGGAATTTCACGATCTGATTACAGTTCAGGACCGTGGCACCCTCTTCGAGAGGTGACCGAGTCAGCAGCGAAATTCAGGATGGACAGCAGCAGTTAGCACAGAGCTACGATGAGAACCTCATCCGATTGCTGCTTATTCCTGTTCCTATGGAGTCTAGTGCTACTGATCGTTGCACGTAAGTTTCCGAAACTTCTCGCTTGAAGAATACGCGTTCTTGCATTCTGGCGGAGGCGAGAGCGTGATGGAACGGAGACCTCCCTTGATCCTCAAAAGTGGAGAGCTTTCCAACATTCGAGTCGTCAGCTGCTCAGTTGCCAGTTGCCTCCAGTTTCCCCCTCTCTCGGAGAATCGATTGATTCGGGCGCAATCAAGGAGAAACGAGAGTTGTTTTCTCCAGTCGAGATATGAGGACGCTTCAAAACCGATGGCTGCGATTCGTGTGTTAGAGGCCCGGACAATATTCATAATTAATCAGAATATCTGGAGTCAGACGAAGTTGGCCTGCCTCCCTCCCCCCGATACCGAGAACGCAAGACGACCAACGCGTCGAAAATCGGACGCTCGAGGCGAGATCCTCGATCGTTCATTGAGAACCTCGCGGAGACGCGTCCCACATTTGAAGTCTCTTATCATTCTAAATTGAGAAAACCTCGAGATCTCTCACGAGTGGAAGAAGCAGTACCCTGCCGACATCCTTCCGGGAGTCGTACCTGAAGTTGGACGACTACAGTGTCGGACTTCCATCGAGCCCGCAACGGAATCTTGGGCCATCCCCTGGCCGCGTCTGCCTCTGGAAGAAGAATATGCCTGAGTTTTGAGTGTGCTCTTGTTTCCCACGTTCCAGAGGAAAATGAGCGGAGTTTCGGAGGAGCCCGCGTGCAGTGTTACACCTGCGACGTAGATTTTTCATCGGACAAATATGACTCCAATAACAGCTGCTTGGTCGGAATCGGCAACAAAGACACCGCCAGCTGCAGCACGAACTCGAATTGGTGCAAGGTAATATCTGCCGGAATCGAGAATATAATACTATGTTGAGCCCGGAAAAATAGATCCGCAGCGATTCTCGAAAAAACAGTCAGGCAGGGGAATTATTCATCTAGTCATTCAATTAGTTCTCGTTACGGTTCCAACCAAGGAGTTACGATCCTTCAAACCGACCTAGTCCGGTCAATGAGTGCGACGGCGAGCGTGGCAAATCAAAAGAATCATCGTCGGACGGCTTTCGTTCCGAAACCCCGAGATGGGTCCCAGTCAGGATGGTCAGATCACTGATGAGAATCTGGTATCTAATTCCACGTCGAATTAAAAATGCTATGGACGGCGTCAGTGGGTGTTTCGACAATTGGAGCGATCCTCTCAGGCGGTCAGAGTGACGCATGTCGTCCGATCATCGCGGTACTCATGCCCATTTTTCCCTCTCACCGCGTTTGCGGAGGACGATTTCTGCGCAACCGATCGTCTCCCGAAAATATCGTAACCTAAGGGCCTGGATGCCCTTCGCGGCTTCCGAGGCTCCCGATGCTAGACGCGTTGTATTCAGCGACTGACACAATTTGTTTTACAGGTGGAAGTGGCGAGGCTCAATGGAGTTCTGGTGCAATTTTCACGGAAATGCGCGGATTCCTGTGCTCCGAACTGTAACGAGAAAGGTTTCGGCTTGAATCGAGAAACTTGTACATACTGCTGTCGCAAAAACCCGTCTTGTGGCGAGAATCGTAGACAATTCGAGCCATTCCTCTATGGAGGGACCAGCTCGGCTTCAGGAACCCCCGTTAGCGTCGAGGGAATTCTGAGCGTGCTCTACATCTCGATGAATTCCAAAATGAAACGTTAGGTGGTTGAATATCGAAACGAATGTTCGGAAGACTCGATCTCCGGTCGGCGCAATCAGAAAGAGGATGTCAGCTTATTTCATGAAGGGTGTTTCCCACCCTTGCGAGGTGAATGGACGCGCTTCCATCGAGAATGATTTCGTATATCGGTTTCCCACAGGGGACAGGCTCGTCTGAGATTCAATGACGAGCGAGAGGTCATCGAGGCTCTGTATATTCGATGAAGTTCGCGGTGCCGATGACGATAACTGTCCAATCCACACGTCGGTGAAAGCCAGAGGATACTTGACTTCGGAATGATCCACCGATCTGGATAGCTCGTCCGGGTGGAGCTCCGAATAGTCAAGTCTGTTTGGGAACTCGCCGTCCCTGTGGCCCTGGCAATCGTGCCCATACGTGGCCAGCCTTGCAAAGCGCTCCGGAGAATTTCAGTGACGTGATGTCCGCCGCCTGAGGCTTCGAACGTGGTCGGAGGTGTCGATTGCGCCGGAAATGGATCTCATCAAAATTCGAAAACAACGGCGCGAGGCTTCTCGCTTATCCGTCTCAATTCACGAGAAACGTACATATATATCGGTTCAGAGGCTCATCGTTTCTCCTCGTCGATGGTTAGCCTAGCCGGGACAGTGACTGAAAATTTCCGATCACAGGAATCGAGTTCGGTCATCGCCTATAGAGGATTAGAGCTCCTATCGTTGAAATAGCGTATCTAACAATTATTTGAAGTCGGGAGTTCAGTCCCACTGTTTCTCCGGGAACTTCTCTCGCGAATATCAAACTGCGATAAGTCTCGTAAAAATTAGATTAGGTCAGAAAGAAAACAAGGTTGAGATATCACGGCTAGCGACCCCACTTGGACCAGATCCCAAAAACATCTAGATTCATCTGTGCGTCCAGCCTATGATCACCATGAGGATACGAAAAAGAATCACGGAGATATCATTCTCCATGAAGAATGGAGGCACGAACTTTTCCGGTTGGAGAGTGCTAGATTGAGGGCACCTCGTGATCATTGAGCCCGGAGTAATCCGGCAATGACGATTAGAGTGAATCACGATGATGGATCAGAATAAATTTCAGTCACCGGTCTAAACCGGAAAACGAAACTCGGATGTGTTCATCTGACGGCGCCTGCATAGATTCCGATCGAGATTTCTTGCAGACAATTATTCAGGATGACCTTCACGCCTTCGGCGATCCAGCTATATATATCGTCGAAGGATGTAGGATTGAATTTTTGCTTATTGACCTGTGTCATGACGTCATTACCACCCCGGATGATGAATCTGGAATTTCCAAATGTCCAGAAGCATCGATATGCGTCCTCCCAAGGGAAAAATCTCTCAGGTCGACAATCATTCACGCGGCCGTCCATCCATCGCAGGAAGCCAGCCAAGCAGCCACGGAGTGGAGAGGGCGCGGTGATCTAATAGAGCCCGCGACGACCAGGGAGCGTTGCTCCGTGGAGCGTGTTTCATTGTGATCTCCTGTCTCCTGACCTGGAGACTTCTCACAGGCAACATAACAAATGGTACTTCAAATTCTTTGCAGGGGAGCCCAAAGGATACCGTATGGTCGAAGCGCCCACAGAGACGCCGGATTCCATTCCGTGTTCCTCCAGAGACCCTGACTTCTATTACGATGGCCTGCTCACCAGGTCGTCCATTATGGGTGTCTTCTCGCGTCACGGAGGACACCTGCTTCCGAAGGACAAATACTAATGTTCTTGTGGCACCCACGAGAAACTAAAGCGGTTCTCGGCTGAAATTGTTCCGACACTCGTTTGTGGAACTTAGAAACCTGCGCTGACTGCGAGAAACCGAAAAGTTTGACGTTCTTTCATTGACGATCCCCGATTCGGAGCATATTACTCCATAAATTTGAACGGTCCCTCCGTTCGACTTACGGAGCCAACTCGGGAAACACTCGCGCGTTAGACCGGTCTCTTTCCTGCTAAGGCGATCTAAGCAGCGAGATAATACGAACATAAGGGAAGCAATTCGACTCGAATATCCTATCGTCGACGACGAGTGGAGATTGAGAGCGTCTGCTCTCGTTTTATCTCCTTGGACTCACACTATGCGCGGAGAAGGCTGTTGAAGTCGCGAGACGCATTCGCGAATGAGCGAAGAGCTCGAAAAGCTTCACACCTCGCCGAGATTTCCAGGGATAAGAACAGACAATGGTACTCAGCAATTGGACATTGCGAAACGACGGGGATACCACGAATGATCTCACCGATCGATGGAGCCCTCATGACTCTCGAATTGGATTCCGTGGACTGATCGATTTCCCGAGTAGGATTTCACTCGCCGGTGAGGCGCGTCGCTGTCATGGTCGTGTGTGCCGCGCAGAACCTGACACCTATTTCCAGTGTTTTGAGGCCCTCCTAATCGATGCTATCAGCTCTAATAGCCCAGAAGCGTCAGATCTCCGAGCCTTATCCGACTAGAAAGATCGTAGGCAGACCCAGTCCGCGGCAGCCCGGCAGCACTTTAATTGCCCTCCAAATAACCCGGTCATCCCACTAGGGATGCTTTTCTTTTTGAGCCCGTTGTCGGGCATTCTCGAATCATGTTCAGCTGCCATTCATTATGTGGAGGGAGGAGAAACATCACGCTCGACTTATTCGCTAAGAACGCCAAATTATCATGGATTGAACATTGCTGAAATTGACATCTAAAAGATGGAGAAATCACCGCCGATACTTCTGAAACTTGGGACACCTCGATCCCGAGACAACTCGATCTTCACTCCTCCAGTCACTCAATGAAGTCGATCACAGTCTTAAGAGCAAAGGCGTAGCTGACGGGGAGGGGAGGGGCATCACAGGCCACTGACCTGGGCGCGGGCTCGCGGGAGAGGGGGGGGGCGCAATTTTCAACCGCGGCAACCAAGGAACGGCGAAAATTCCAGGATCGATAACATCATTTCTCCATTGCCCGATAATTCACCGACCAGGGAACAGGCTCGATCAGACTGAATAATTCCGACGCCGCGCCGCCGTCTCAATAATTATCACGACCCTTGATCAAATCAATGGCTTCTGCCGCGGTATCATCGATCCACACGATACGATGCGAATCAGCTTTGTCGATCACTCTTTCGGGCTCCGGTATCTCTCCGCGCAATAATATCGCTCAACTCATGGTGAACGCCTCCATCAGATCGAGAGATTTCTTGCGTGCAATTGTGTCTCGATCTGTAAAATCATAGACCTCGAAAAGAAAGAGGTGGCTCCATTCCTGAGTCGCACTCCCGCTCCAGAGGAGTGCGCGCCACCGGAAATCTCGACCTGTAGTCATCAATTTTTTCCCATCGCCAGGAGCCGAGGTATGCCGGCGCGCTAGAGTACATCTCAGCACGGGTCAGGAGTCGGGAGGGAGCCCGATATCTTCTCACTCGACACAGGAGGAGAAGAATCCATTGAAGCGTTCGATACCCGAAAAAGTGATTAATGGCCTTCTGGGTGAGGGGGAATCTACCACCAATCGGTCTGTAGCCGTTCCATGTCTTCAGATTTGGAAACGACACTGAGCAGTTATTCCGGAAAATATCCCCGTGCTCCTCGGAAGCCATTGTCGGGAATCGATAGATTCCGAGTCCGAAAGGCCCATTCTCCCAGACTTCGTGATGATATCTCTAAGTTATACGAACGCAGGGATTCAAGGTGGACTTAGGGAGTATTCACTCAATGGACGCACTCGGCTCCGAGGGCGACGATCATTAGCTCCTGCTCGAGGACGACCCTCGCCACAAGCTCATTGTCTTGAGCTCTTTGGTTTTTGTATGCCTTTGACAAAGATTACGCCTTGCAAGGATTGACGGAAGTTCCGCTAAGTAAGACATACCGTACACATTCCCCTTGCGCACACGGGCGCTCATTAAGGATTCCGGGACTTTCGCGGATGGAAAGCTCACCGCGCTCTATTCAAATGCTCCATCGGCCCCCGTCACAATTCGGACTGCTGGTCTCATCAGAGGAGCATCGGATTCTTCTGCGGCGTCGGTAATTACCGCCTCGCGGACGCGTCACCCGAAAACGAATTCCCCTCCCGACGACATGGATACTTCGGAAGGGTACGGAAATCGCCCTCGCGGTACGTGCCGTGAACGTCGGGACTCTGGAATCGGTGGCGCGACTCTCCGAAAACTCTGCTCTCTTCCGCATGGGTCGCCGCGATCGCCGAGTCGATTCTGCGCTCGAAACTCGCTCCGCCATATGGGGCATAATAGAGGGCGACAAAATGGTTGCAGAAAGCGGCCGAGAAACCTCCCGCGCCGGAGTCCCGATTGAATGATGAATTATCCTCGGCTAGCAAGCTAATGATCACTTGTGTTTACTAATTGGTCGTCTTTCGTCGGCGGGAGGCTTTCTGCCATTAAGTTCTCGCATTTGAATCTTGCTCGGGGTCAACCCCGAGCTTGTCACTCGAGCTGCCGCCCGCGCTCAAATGCGATGAGGGGGGAGAGAGGGTGCTTGCCTGATTGCGTTAGCCAAGGTGAGCTGGCGGGACGAGTTTGCAGAGTTGCGCCATCTCGCCAGCCGGCAAGTCGCTGAGCTTGTGAGAAAGCCAACTTCGGCGAGAGAGAGACTCGAGTCGACTTGGAACCATAAGATAAGGCTGATTGAGTTCGACGGGGCTGCGAGGTGACGCGGGCGACCGAAACTCCGATTTCGAATCGCCGGAACTCACCGATAATCTCGGCGCACGGATTCAGGCAGGTATAGATTGTCTCCGAGAATGTTCGCATTTCCGTTCCGCTGTGTCCAGGTCGTTATCCGGCCGTTAGCGACGGCCTCATCGTCCGATTAAGACGCCGTCCATGAGGATGTTCTGAGGGCATCGCACGAAGAACCTCATAGTCCGAACAACCGCGATCGGGCCAGCTCCGATATCCACAGAAGGATGTTCGAGTCAAGACTTTGAACTTTTGAGAGCGAGACGTACTCTTCGTCCCCGTCGCGCGCTGGCAAGGTTACACGGGTGACCCCCAATCT